TGGTGATTGGAGCCTTGACTGCAAGGTGCTTCGGGTCTCGTTTAGGGTTTAGGGTTTAGGGGTTAGGGTTTAGGGTTTAGGGCTTTGGGTCTCCTGTCGGGACCTGTACTTGTTCTGTCAATCTTTCGTTGCGCGTTAAGCGCAACTTCTTCACTTCTTGCCGGGGGGATGTGGGCGTTGAGCTCGAAGCTTTTAGGACCTCTGGCCGAACCACTAGCATGCCCCTGAAGCTCTGTGCTTGAAGCACTCTGAGTGTTGGATGAGAATGCGAGCTGGTAGCTTGACGTTGGGCTGGAGATGGTCTTTCTGCGGTGCCGTGGCCCCATAAGGATATTCCGTCGAGTGGCACCGGGACTGGACATCATAGATCCACGGCTGCAATGACGCTATGCCAGCCGCTCATGCCTGCTTTGAGGGGTAGACCGTTTTTTGGAGCCGGCATGTTTCGTGGCATAGGAGAGGCGCGTGGTCGTCAGTAAGTCTAGGGGTCGCCTCAGCCACATCAGCGAAGATCAACACGTCGTTTGAGCATCATGAAGGCGTTTCCTGATCATCGGGTCATCTCCGTGTTGACCCAGGGCATTCAGCGTCTCATCTAAACAGCATACGGCATACAGCTTTGCCTGATAGCACAGGAAGAGACCTTCTCCAGACGAAGGTGCAGCCAAGATAAATTCTGCACCAGCTGGCAGCGAGCAGCACGTACAGCAGCCCACCGACAAATTGTGCCTGTCAATGAGCACACAGGACTGTACTGTAAAGCATGCACACAGAACGACCGCACTTGGGGTTTAGGGTTTAGGTTATGGTGCTGAGGGTTTAGGGTCTAGGGTGTACAATGACTCAGCACATTCAGATAAATTAGGTTTAAGACAAGCAGCGCATGTGAACGTCGATCAAGCACACGGGCAAGTCGCACAAAGTGGTTTTATGCTTCTGCGGTCGAGTGCTGTGGCAGCTGTGGCACGGTGCAGTGGTGTTCAAAGCGAAATGGCCACATTCTATCAGACACCTTAACCTTGACTTTATCATGCAGTTTAATCATCCCCTACAAATGGGAGTATTTAGTATTAGGGGGTAGGGGGAGTTGAACATTAGGGGGTGGGGACTGCTGGACCCAAATCCATACTGCGACCCCACCGAGGATGCAGACTCCGGGCAGGTGGACCTGCGAGGCAGTTTTCTGCTGTGCGTCGGGCGCCTATGCCTTTTGCACAGGGAAGAAAGCGCTCCTCTTCCTCCTCCTCTTCTTCTCCTCCCTCTTGCGATAAGCAGTAAGCAGTACTGACGTCATGATGGCTTTCGTAAATCGCAGTCGTCTGGAGCAGCGATACTAAACAAAGGCGTGAAACTCGAGGTTGCCGTTCCGTCTGCCCGATTGCGAGTGCTACGAGGGCAGCTTTCTTGGAACAACTGTCTGCAGAGATTGTAGCGTACTTGCGACGGACTATTCCACTAAACCCCAAACCCTAAACCCCAAACCCCAAACCCGAAACCCTACTGTAAACCCCAAACCCCCTAAACCCTAAAGCGTTGGAGAGTACCGAGGTCGGGCCAGCAGTCGCGAAGTTTGCAATTGGGTTTGCGGTACAGGGTAGGCATGTTTTCTCTGCATGCCCAGCAGGCGACTTCATACTGAAACCCTAAACCCTAAACCCTAAACCCCAAACCCCAAACCCCAAACCCCAAACCCCAAACCCCAAACCCCAAACCCCAAACCCCAAACCCAAACCCCAAACCCCAAACCCCAAACCCCAAACCCCAAACCCTAAACCCTAAACCCTAAACCCTAAAGATCCCAATGCTAAGACGGCCAGCCAATCTGTGGACTTCGGAGTCGCTTCCTGTCCGCGGCCCGCCAACCTCACGTCGGAAGAAGGACTTCTTACAGCCTTTGTTGTTGAGAGCTAGGGTTTAGGGCTTAGGGTTTAGGGTTTAGGGTTTAGGGCTTAGGGCTTAGGGTTTAGGGTTTAGGGTTTAGGGTTTAGTTCGGGCCTTGCTGGAAGTGGCAGGAAGTGTTAGCCGGCTCGATGGTTAGGGTGTGGCAAATCCTAAGCCCTAAACCCACCCTAAACCCTAAACCCGAAACCTGTGGAAGCCGAGCAGGCGAGAGTGGATTCATTGTGGACGACCCTTGGACATCAGCCCCGGCGGACTTCTTCCTACACCCTTGTGACACTTTGGCTGATTTAGGGTTTAGGGTTTAGGGTTTTGGGTTTAGGGTTTAGGGTGTAAGCATGAGCTCGCAGCATTGGCAGCCTGCAGAAGCCGCATTCCATCTCAATCCCTCGCATGCAGCCGCAGTTGTGCCTGTCTGTGCATACCTGGCCGGGTTGAATTGCTGGGCACGCCTAAGGAATGCATCCCGCCTGCTTGGGATGCCTGTTTGCGTTGGAATGCTTTTTGTTTACTGTGAAAGCAAAGAGCCAGAAGCCATGTGCTGACTGGGCTCTCTCGAGCCATATGCTGAGCGCAGAAAGAGACAGAAGTTCAGCCCACTGTCATTTCAGATAGGAGAAGCCTGTGCACTTGAGTTGAGCCATATGTTGCCATGTTGACGGGCCCGTAAGAGCTCAAAAGAAACGAGTGCATGGCGACAAGTACTTCAGTTGACCACTACGAGGACCCAGACTAGGCCCCTTTATTTTTTGGGGGGGTTTAGGCTCCCTTAAAAGCCCCTTTCAACCAAAAAAGGTACCCCTTCAGTTGACCACTACATTTGACACAAAACAGACTCCCCGAAACTCCCAGAGCCTGCCTTTGCCCGCGCCTCCCAACACCTGAGAAGCCTCCCCATTCTACTTTCCCGAAGGAGCCCCTTGCATGCCCCGCCCTCCAGAAGCGCAGGGTTCAGGGTTTCGGGACGTTTAGGGTTTAGGGTTTAGGGTTTAGGGTTTAGGGTTTAGGGTTTAGGGTTTAGGGTTTAGGGTTTAGGGTTTAGGGTTTAGGGTTTAGGGTTTAGGGTTTAGGGTTTAGGGATCCTTGTCTCTTATCTCAGCCCAACATCCGAGGGCATGGAGCCACCCGTGAACCCGGAGTCCTTTGAGGCGGTTCCTGGCAAGAGCGACAACATCTTCATCCCGCGCTTTGCCTGTTCAGGGTTTAGGGTTTAGGGTTTAGGGTTTAGGGTTTAGGGTTTAGGGTTTAGGGTTTAGGGTTAGCCCCAAAATAGAACAGAATCCCCTTAAGGGGACCCCCAAGAAGGGTTCCCCCCCCCCTTTATTCGGAAACCCCCTTATATGGGTTGCTGGTCTCTTTAAGAAGGGTTTCTGTTTAGTAGGGGCATATATTGGGGGTCTTAGTAGGGTATCTAGGGCCATCTCAAGGTACAAGGGTAACAGATACAGAGGCCACCGGCCTTTATGAGCTTTGCCAGCTGGGCTTCGTACTATAGGGGCCTTGTTGATCAAAATGGTGTAGGGTTTAGGGTTTAGGATGATCATCGTATAGGTACGTAGGGACCACCTTTGGGAGGACTATTAGTCATTTCTTCCAACTCGGCAGTGCTCTTTGTCGAGTTCCATACGCGGAGGTTCATGGTACTTACTAACCAAATATAACTATAACTGTACTTCTAACCCACTTATAATCCCCTTAAGTGCCACAATAGGGTTATAAGTACAGTTATAAGTACAGTCATAAGAACAGTTATAAGTACAGTTATAAGTACAGTCATAATTGGTACATAAGTACCATGAACCTCCAAGTAGTTCTTCATGATTTTGTGTTTTTTTGCGGCGGCTCTAGGGTTTTTGTTTGAAGCCCAGGCAGCCAGAGGGTTCTTCCCGCCGAAAGTGCGAGGATCTTTTTTGTTTCCCGGGTGGGTTTAGGGTTTAGGGTTTGGAGGTTAGGGTTTTTAGGGTTTTTAGGGTTTTTAGGGTTTTAGGGTTTTTAGGGTTTTTAGGGTTTTTAGGGTTTTTAGGGTTTTTAGGGTTTTTAGGGTTTTTAGGGTGTTTAGGGTGTTTAGGGTGTTTAGGGTGTTTAGGGTCTAGGTTAGTCGCAAGGTCTCTGCAGTGAAACTAGGAAGGGTTTTCCCCGCAAACTCCAAATTTGAGTTGTCGTCTCGCCTTGCCTCTACCGGCCGTTCAGAGCCCCTGTGGTGTGCATGTGCTCGCATGAACTCCATGTGGGTAATATAGGGGTCGGAATAATTACGTATAGTATTCTCTTTTGGTCCCTCTATATTTATACAGTAATGACCCCAAAACCCTATTCCAGTTATTAAGGCCCCTACACTAGTTCTCTACCCTTTTGGGGTCCTAGAACATAGTCTGGGACCCTCAGTTAGAGAACGACCATGTGTGGCTGAATAACATGCTTTGGGACTCTGACATGGAACTCCCCTAAACCCTACACCCTAAACCCCAAACCCTAAAGCCCTAAACCCTAAACCCTAAACCCTAAACCCTAAACCCTAAACCCTAAACCCTAAACCCTAAACCCTAAACCCTAAACCCTAAACCTGCACAGTGAGGCCTGCCTTTGAACTGGTCTCCGGGCAGTTTGTGTGCCCTGCGCGGTTCCTGCTACCCAACGGCGTGCACTTCGAGACAGAGACGGAGGCTTCCCCACATGAGTTTGGTAGGGTTTAGGGTTTAGGGTTTAGGGTTTAGGGTTTAGGGTTTAGGGTTCAGGGTTCAGGGTTTAGGGTTTAGGGTTCAGGGTTTAGGGTTTAGGGTTTAGGGTTTAGGGTTTAGGGTTCAGGGTTCAGGGTTTAGGGTTTAGGGTTTAGGGTTTAGGGTTTAGGGTTTAGGGTTTAGGGTTTAGGGTAGCAGGGTTTAGGGTTTAGGGTTTAGGGTTTAGGGTTTAGGGTTTAGGGTTTAGGGTTTAGGGTTTAGGGTTTAGGGTTTGGGGTAGCAGGGTTTAAGGTTTTGGGGTTCAGGGTTTAGGGTTTTAGGGTTTAGGGTTTAGGGTTTAAGGGGATAGTTTGCCTGGGCTTCGGGTCTGGGTTTCCGACCCGAGGCTTAGAGCCTGTGAAGCAACAGCAGCAACATCTCTCA